CATCGATTAGTAGTAGGTATGTCACAATTCCAATGCAGTATTGACCTATTGGTATTGAATAGTATTCGTATTGCTATATCCCTAATTTTTTCGCTCAAGGAGGATTTTTTAAGAAAATAACGATTCTTTATAAAGTTTGACCGAAGCTTTTCGGGGTCGAGAAATTTGAATCTACTAATCACTTTTTTAAAATTTTACGGTTAATTTTTTTCACGAAACAAAGGGTTTTTTAAGAAATTAACGTTTTCTAATAAAGTTGGATCAAAGGTTTTCGGCGTCGAGGAATCCGAATCTGCAATCAGTTTCTTACAATTTTGAGTTTGACTTTTTTACTAAAAAATATTTTTAGCAAAAAAATCGTTTTTTTCTTAAATAAATGCGGAAACCTCGGATTTAAATCAGAGTGTTATGTGTACTTCAAAAAGTAAACAGACGTGTCATGATAGCATGTGTAGACATCAAAATCATCCGAGCAAGCCATTTTTCTTAAAACTTGATTTCTATTGCTTACTGTTCAACCAATAGGATTTCGAGGAAAGTGAAGCTCAGATTCAAGTTCTCCGCCCCAGAAAACCTTTGTTCAAGTTTGATAAAACCTCGAAGTATCGCTTCTCTGATTGGACGATGGGGTTTTAATATTCGATCGATCCCAGCGTGGACAAACACAGAAGCAATTTCCGTTCAAGTATCTTTGCAATAGGTGACTTAACCTTCTTCTTTCTTAATGTTTTATATACTATTTTGTGACTCGCGAAATTTTCTATCGAATGGTATATAATAGCGTGGGGTTTTGTTTGATTATGAGAGGAAAAGTTCTTTTACAAAAACCGAGATACGTCAATAATCCCATAGAAAACCATAGGGAGAAAGCACTTTTTTTGCGATAACTCAGCAATGGCTGTACCAGTCATTCTCATCTTCGAACTCGACCGAGACATTGTTGAGACGATACTGTGTAGAAAATTTCATTAAGATCGGACTCTCCTGTCAAAATTTATCGTGCAAACGGCCGGACGGGCGGACATACTGAGCGATTCTAGAATGCACTCACTTTTTGAGTACACAAAAACATTTTTTTAAGATGTGAAGATATCGCAATAATGATAGAGAGAAAGAAATGACGCAGAAATTATGACAAAACCTAGTATCCTTCTTAGTATATATATAGGGTGTCCAGTAAGTAACTCCACAAAGAAAAAGTTGAATATCTTCATTACAACTCGACCAAACGGGCTCATTTTTTTACCAAGGATAGAGGCATGTTCACATTTCAAATCCATACGGACAAGGTTAGTGGGAACCTTTGCAAAGTATCACTATTGACCTCAACAAGAAAATTTTACTTGTTCAAAGATAGAAAAAGAAAACAATATACTTACCATANACTAACCGTTTTTTTTTTTTATTAACAATCGTATTTATTCAAATTTTAATTAAAACAAGTTCATTTATTTTCTAGCTATCCTATAAAACACATTTGGGCAGTTGATTTTTGTATCATTCTGACGTAGAAGAAATAAATTCTGTATTCTTTATGCTACAGTATAAAATAATATGTATATATTTATTCGATCGATTCATCGCGAGTTTTAATACAACAACAGCAACAAGATCACATGTCAAAAGATCAATCAAACCGATTATAGCTGCAGTATCTAATAATCATAACAGATCTAATTCGATTTTTTTTTCTAACATTTTTCTGTTATGTTCTACTTTCACTATACATAATTTAAGAGTGTGAGTGTAAGATGTGAATGTGCGGTGTGAGTATCGATAGGCATGAACAGATGAATCAGACCCGTACCCACACCCCACCTCACTCAACCCATAATTATTCTACTGAGTGTCGGTTTGAAGATATACCTGGTTTATTTTCAAATAACAAAAACAAAACGGATACACAAAGTTTTAACATAACTACCATGTAGCATACGGAAAGAAAACATATAAGAAAGAAAAAAACTGAAAATGTAATAAAGTCTGAAATTTCTCCAAGTAGCCACTCATACAAAGGCCCATATTACAATATTTACATGTATAACGTAAATCTATTCTCTTTCTTGTCTTCTATTTGTATGAGCACATACAATACAACTTTTCTGAAGATTTTTCTGTCTGTTGTTTAAAGATACCATCAGACTGTTTCTACTCAACACTAGTGCTAATAAACAATCGATTTTGTCTTCTTCGAATACTTTCTTATAATCATTAATAACACGACACTGTCAGCTCGTTGATTGAGAAGAAAATAGTTATCATAGTTTCTAATAAATAAAGATGAAATTAAATATTCATGTAAAATAAAATAAATTTGTTTTAGATCATTCACATCGCATAGTTTTCACGCTGAAATTTACATGTAAAGTACGAATCACAATTTTGAGAATGTACTGAAGCGCGACTCTCAACATGTTTAAATATTGACAACAATGTTAATAAACTTCGATTTTTTTAGTCGTATTTTAAAGATATTGAAGCCTCTCTTATTGTTCTTCGGAGCCTCATTCTCAGCGTATTCTGTAGTAATACCATTTCAAACAGTTAATGTTATAATATTTCTTTTTTTGCATCTGTCAGAATTAAGTCACGCGGGACCTTTGAGACCAACGCGTCACTTGTTTTTTTAATAAAGAGAGAATAACAAAAAAAAAATAAAAGAAATGCATTGTATTATATATCTTTCGTATATAAATTGTTTTAATTAATAGAAAATAAAAGCAACAAATATGACAATCATAAAAAAGTAAAGGAAGAAACAGATTAAAAAAAAGCAATGTAGTATACTACATTTCTTTTTTGTATGTAAAGCTTTTTCGATAAATAAAATATAAAAAAACGTAAAAGTCTTTATCATTTTAGAATACTTCAGTAAATGGTGAAGGTATGTTAAAAATCTAAATAATGAAATAGATAACTAATTATTTTTTATGAATTGATTCTTATTTTTCGTTTAATTGTTACCTTATTAATAATATTAATTACTAGTAGTCCCTTTTTATAATGTTCATTAATTACTAGAGAATAAGAAGCTCTTTTAATTAATCATTGGTTATAATTTAAAATAAATAAATGCAAATATTTTTATTTTTTATAGTGAGTTTTCAAATACCTTCGATTATTTCGAATACTGAACTTGATTGATGAAGCTCATCCGAAATGTTTTGCGATATACTTATTTTAAAATTATTGAGTGATTGAAATGCAGCACTGCCTAAATTATATATATATATATATATGTTGCTTTTAAAAAATAGCCTTATCTACTTCTAATTGAATATGACATGAATGGCAGAGACTTTCGTCGCGACTGAAAACCTGCCGCTGCTGCGCCGCTACGATAGAGAGAAAAAAGCTCTTGCACTGCAATAGACTTGAAATGGAATTGATCAATTGAAGGAAGGAATTACAAAAAATTAAAAGAAATCGACACAAAAGTTGTGCAAGCTATGTTTTCAGAAATACGCAAATCACTTCGTAAAATCGCAAATAAAGGATTTTATGAAGATTGTTCTTCGAGATTTTTAAACATTGTTGCTTGTACTAGTGATTTGTAGAAGAATGAAAAAAAAGCTACATATTAAAATGAAAAACAAAAAAAAAGAGTTTTATCCAACAACTTTCTACACGTAGGTCTTTAATCATCATTTTCAACTTCATCACCATCTACAGCTTTATCATGTTTTTGATTGAAAAGAGAAGAACTAAAACAAAATCAATAATCATGCTATAAAATCCATAGATGAATTCATTCAAACAATTATAGCTACTAAATTATCATAACAATATTAATGGTGACATTGATGGATAAAATAAAGCATTATTTGGTGGTAATCGATCAATTGGTCGCAGAACAGCTTGTTTCGTTATGTTCGTCGTGAACAATATCGTTGCAATCAATATGTTAATATCGCTCTCAATTAATTCATTTTTACTTTGTGTATTGTACTTATACATGAGATAGTGAGAAACAAATAGTATACAAAAAAAAGGAAAAAACTAGTTTAAAGAGTAAGGTTAGCAGCGATTTTTTTAAAGTATTGGTTCAGTTGAGATGAGTCGTATGCGTTGATCAGCCGAGCAATTCGTTCGTTCAATCTCCGATAGGAGGCTTTCTTCGTCAAGATATCATGACCTTGCAGAATTTTCATGATGTCAACTTCGAATTTCGATTGTTCATGACGAATTTTGTCTGCCAGTTTCACGATGTTTGGATGATGTATCGTGGCATGATTGGCAAATACATTGTGCCAGCCTTGCACTGAATTATTGGATCGAGGTACACCAGCGATTGCATGATCATGAATATTCTATAAGTTGTGATCGAATTTAGGTTTCTTCCGACCTGTTCCTAAGATTATCGAATGCATTTAAAATTTCTCAAGAATGAAGAAGCAAAATGACCTCTTCTTTTTGGTTCATCAATCCAAGTTTTTTCGAAATAATCGAGTAAATCGTCGGCGTCATCGTTGCATTGATCGACAATTAAGACTAACGCAGTTGTAACTTCATCTACTGGAACAAAGGCAAGAGCAATTAATTTTTTTACATTTAAACGAAAAGACTCATCTTGTTTATATTTGGTTCCCAATCCTTTGTTTTGAACTTGTCGTCATAGCCCTTGTGAAAAATGAAAGAGACATCCTGTAACAAACGTTTTAATTATCTTTCCTTTTTTGTGAATAGACTAGAACGTACCTTTGTGTAAAACATTTGGTAAAATTTCTTTGACTGATTTGATTGTACCAGTTTCGAAATCAGTCATAATTGATTCAGGTTGAAACTTGTCTTGTTCAACTAATTTTTCGAAGAATTGATTGTAAACATCGCTGCTTTTACCAAATGACAATGCATAGATGAAAGGAATAATTGCATTCGTCATCATTGCATGTAACGTAAAAAGTTGAAAATAATCATCCAGACGCACCTACATCAAAAATAATTAGAAAAAAAAGATACACATTCAATTAATAGCTCACGTTAAATGTTCCATCAGCGAACTAATGTTTGTTTTGCTTCAGAATAGGTAAATTATTTTTCGTTATAAAGATAATTAAATACTCATCTTCGTGCCAGATGAAATCTTCATCACGATATGTCTTTCTTAATTTTTCTGGTAAACGACCATTGGCATCGACTATTTCAGCAGTACGTTGTTGTCGAACTGTAAGTATAAGTACATCGCTTCTTGGAAATTGACCAGCGACACTTAGAGGATATGTTCGTAAGGCTGAATGATTCATCTGTTGTCGAAGCGCGAGCTTTAATTTCGTTCTTTAATTGGATAGCTGGAACACGATCAGGTTGTGGAGCATGACCATGTGATGTTGGTTGAGAGAGACATGTGTCCATGGATAAATTGGCATGGCAACATGCTTAATTGATAAATGATTTTCATTTTAATTAATTGATTAATGATATTCAAAGTAAATTTACCTTTACAATCACGATTATGACGTCGAAAAATCAATTTCGTCGAAAGTTACATCTACACTGTATATGTAACTTTCGTGGAGGAGCATTGGTTTTCCTTTGTTAGAGTGGAGTTTCTGGATTTGACACATTCTTTGGAAGTGTTGTGTGCAGTAAATGTTCAGATTGAGAAATGAAATATATTTTCAACATCATCAATATTTATTTTTTTATCTCCCGGCCACATAATTAAGAACACTGGATCAGTGTTATCCTTGGTCTAGATTATGTCGAAAGTCATTTAAATTATTGACAAAAACTAATTATTTTTTGAAAACTTTAGCTCTGTCATGACTAAACGTGAGTAACATGTTCTATTAATCTGTTTTCCCAATTATAGTTGTCATCTTCAATGCAATATTTTCTTCGGTACATCTTTCACATTTTTTCATTTTGTTTTGATTCAGATGGTTATACAAAAAATTAATTAAGAGCGATATCGACATATTGATCGCAACGATATTTTTCGCGACGAACAGAGCGAAACAAAATATTCTGCGACGAATTGTACTAGTGCCGTTTTTGGTATATATGATAAATCCTTTTTAAGTTTTTGTGCTTTAATGGATTCAGTATCAATTCTTTTTTTTTAGGTCTTCTTTTTCCTCGTCATCAATAAGCCATTTCAATCCATTTTCTGTTGATGTAGATGTTAATTTGAAATGCATATAAGATAAATCAAGTACATCAATATTTGTTGAACATCGAATTGCCATATAGCCTTCATCTGATTGACAATGAGGATTATTCCGAATTCGCTTATAAGTCTCCAGCCAATAAGAATATGGATGAACATATATCATGTGTTACTAAGAGCGGCTTGTTTTCTTTGAATTTTTTCTCTTCACTAGCTGTTCGTTTCCCTTTCATATGAAAGGGAAACGAACAGCTAGTGAAAAGAAAAAATTCAAAGAAAACAAGCCGCTCTTAGTAACACATGATATATGTTCATCCATATTCTTATTGGCTGGAGGCTTATGAGCAAATTCGGAATAACCCTCATTATAAATCAGCCAAATATTAGGTGGTTGAATGCGCGCATCTGAATCTGATGATTCTACAAGATCGAAAAATATATTAGAATTATTTATTAAATTAAATAACAAAAATATAATTTTAAGTAATTATCAACTCACTTCGTGTCTCAAGTATTTCTTCATCGGAAGACGTATACGTAATTGAATTACTAATTACTCTATGATCTATTAGCTGCTCAAATAAATAACAACTATGGTTCGCTTCAGACGTGTAACCATATGCTCTAATAGAGAAAACAATGTATGATTTAGTATTGCGTTTGTGTCAATATATACATCATTGTGATCTAGATAAGAAAGTGGTTCATCCTCATATACGTCGATGAGAAAATAAAAGATACAAGTAGATGCACAATTAAGTATCAATAGTTGTTTTAGTAATAGATGGCGAATTGTTATCTTGTTCAACAAGAACTTGACACTTGTTTTTAAATATTTCTAGAAAAAAAAATCGAATAACAATGAAAACAATATCATAAGAAGTAGATGATGTTCGAGTTTAGAATATATTCCGTGATAATATAGTGTTTAAAACATTAGCAATTTACCGGCGATTATTAACTGATTATTGAATGCATTATCTATTTCATGCTGTGGAGAATTATGCAGTATGTGGTTTGATAGGAAAATAACACTTTTGATTTGGAGAATTTAATCGATACATGTGTATCGTACTAAGTGATCGGTTCATTATGGACTACCAAATATATGCCTCATTATATCGAGTTACATTAAAAAAACGAAGCAAAATAGAGAAGTCATAACTCTTTATCAGCTTATCTAATTTGTTTTAGGAGAAGTAATTGCTACCCTTCGCTTCACTGACGCGCTTCTTACGAAAATGAATTAGAAAGAAATATTATATGTCAAAATTCTTTTCTCATATTTTATTCAATAGTTGCTTTTCTCTTGTGAAAAAATAATCTATTTTAAATAAACAAGTAACGCTCGTCCACAGACTCGCTCAGCTCTTTCTCGTAGAAGGACTACTTTCAGATGTTAGATTTTGTAATGCATTGTTGTGTATATAAGTTTATTTCTAACGTAAATTAAATATTCTTATATAAA